GGGGGGGGTCCATTATCAAGAGGTCGGCCGTGCTCCAGCGAGCGACAGCTGCTTGCTGCTCCCCCCCCCCCTCATTTTTTCCACCCGCCCCTTTCCTTTCTGGACAGGGGGGAGTACAGCTGCACTCGCGCGGGTCGCGGTGGCTGGGCCGCGGCCCGGGAGGGAGGAGGGGGGAGGGGTGCTCCCGACCATATCGATCCGGGCGCGGGGTGGCGAGCCTCCCCTGTGGCTCGACCAGGAGCGAGCAGGACGAGGAGGCGACCTCCTGTTCCGTCTGCGCGCCTAGTCGGAAACCACCCCTACACTTTCCCTGCTTTGCCGACCCTTTCCAGAGGGGGATGAAACGTTGGGGTGAGTTGGCCGCAGCTACCCTCATCCCCCGGCCACAGCCAGGCGGGTCTCGGGGTAGCCGGCGCACGGGGTAGGTCTCGGGGAGGGTGGCCGTGTGTGGGGGGAAGGGGAGGGGGTGAGCTGGGGCGAGCGGGGGAGAGCGGGGGCGAGAGCGGGGGCGGCGCGGCACCGAACGCCACCGCGGCCGCGGGGTTGCAGAGGCGGAGCCGTCGGGCCGCGGAGACGGCGAGGGCGGCGCGGCGCGTGGGGGGCGGCGCTGCTCGCCTGACAGTCCCAACCCGCCCAACCCCCGGGATGTTGGTTTGGTGGATGGATGCGTGCTGCGCCGGCTGCGCCCACGGCGCCCACCGCGCGCCTCTCGCAGCCAGGCCAGGTGGGCGGGGTTGGGCGGGGTCGGGCTGGCCCCGCGGCCGTGTCGGGCGGGGGAGGGAAGACGCGTGTTTGGCGTCGGGCTGAGCAGAGGAGGCCGAGAGGGAAGACTGTCGCGCTATTGATTTAGGTCCTGCATGACAGCCGCACCGTCCCGGCCCCGCCCACCTTTTTACGGGTCTACCTCCTCCTGCGGAGTGAGCGCCTGTCCCCTGGCAGCACGCAGCACTTTCCCTCCCTGTCTCACTGACGGCCTTTCGCCTTTCACTCGGACGTGGTCGCGCTGACGGAGGGATGGGGGTGCCCTTTCATTCCCCGACTTCCAATGGGATTTCCCTCCTCGTGGCAAAGGGGTTGCAATAAGAGGGAGAACTCTAGTGCCCACCATAAAGACGCGCGCTGTCGGGCGCGATCGGGAATTTGGTTCTTGTGTCATGTTCTCTTGAATCATAATCATATTAAGCAACATCATGCAGCATATTCACAGCATTTAAATCAATTAAGTCCATGCATCTGTTGGCAAGAAGCCGCAATCTGGTGCTGAGGCAAAAACGACTATGCAGGAGATCGAAGGGTTGCATAGTAGTCCATAGTAATGGTTTGCTATATATTCGCCCATGGTGAATGTTTGGATCATCCGATAAAATAACGGATATTTTCTATTGTCAGCACAGCATTCACGTTCAGGATAAGCGAATGAAAGTTTTTCGTATTACGCTGTTGCGGCGGGTAGCCTCCATTTCCCACTTACTTAAATGTGAATATTGCTCTGCTGCACTGCGAATAATGCGAAAACGAATCCGGTGGTTCTAGCAGTATCAAAACATCTCAAAGACCGACACACCCTTCCGTTTTCCGCTGATAACGAAGGATTTTGTGTGGAATTAGCTAAACAGTATATTTATTTTGATTTTTTTACTCCCGTTTAATAGTTATTTTAAGGTACAGACATCTTTAATATAACATCCTGTTTTCTCTGCTTTCTCTTTTGTGTCTCGAGAATCTTCTGTCAAACCGCTACTCCTGTCACAACAAATTTAGTGTATTTATATCAAACAACTGTTTTTATCAAATTGACTTCACTTAGACTTAGTCTTTAAATTCAAATGCAATCCTTTCTGACGCTGGCAGTGTGATTACCTCACCGGTTTTGTTGACATGCCCCTTTCCATTTTAGGTTATGTCATCAGTTCATTATGTCTAATATGAATGTATTTGTTGCAGACATGTGGAAAGCAGCAGCCGGACACACTTCAGGAGCACAGGCTCCAGTTTTACCACAGCAGGATGATGATGACTGGGAAACAGATCCAGATTTTGTCAATGATGTTACAGAGCAAGAACAGCGATGGGGTGCAAAGACGATTGAAGGGTCAGGTCGCACAGGAGGAACCATTGAGTAAGGGCTTTTAATTTTATTTCTATTAAATGCTCTTTGAATTTTTGAGGATTACTCTCTAATGGCTATTAATTTTTATTATTAGTATGTCAAAGCTCCGAGAGGAGGTGGCTCAAGGAGATGCCCTGAGAAAGAAAAAAGAATTGGAAGATGGACCAAAAGCTGCCTATGGTTATGGAGGCAAGTTTGGTGTGCAAGCTGATCGGTAAGTTATCTGCTTTTCTTTTAGTATAATTTATCTTAAATTTTTAGAGACTTATTTTAAAATTTTATTTGTTATCAGAATGGACCAGTCAGCAGTTGGGCATGATTATGTTGCTAAAGTTGAGAAACATCAGTCCCAAAAAGACTATGCCACAGGGTTTGGTGGAAAGTACGGGGTTCAAACAGACAGAGTTGATAAAGTAAGTTAATGCTTCTTTTTTACAAAAATAAATAAATAGGAAAAAGTTTTTTAGTTTGTCAAGGTTTAGTTTTCTTATTTTGTTTTTGTTCCCCTTGCACAGAGTGCCGCAGGATGGGATCACAAAGAAAAGCTGGAGAAACATACTTCACAGAAAGATTATAGTTCTGGTTTTGGTGGTAAATTTGGTGTTCAGTCAGATCGGCAAGATAAGTCAGCTGTTGGCTGGGACCATGTTGAGACTGTGCAGAAACATGAAAGCCAGAAAGGTTTGTTAAACAGTTTAAATTTGTTTTGTTTTTTCAAATTAAAATTACTGTTAAAAATATTAAGAGACCTCCCTTTCTACAGATTATGCTGTTGGGTTTGGTGGCAAGTTTGGTGTCCAGTCGGATCGGCAAGACCAATCAGCTGTTGGTTGGGATCATCATGAAGGCCTAAACCAACATGAAAGTCAAGTAGATGGCAAAAAGGTAACTTTTATCTCATCTGAAATATTTTCTGTGTAACATATGTATTTCAGGATAATTGTGGATCTTGATAAAGTGCAGTAGTAGTACAAATCATTTTACTTTATAGGGCTTTGGAGGAAAGTTTGGAGTTCAAAGTGACAGAGTTGACAGATCAGCACATGGTTTTGGAGCTCCTGAGAAAGTGGGCACATCATATGAAAAGTCAAAGCCAGATATAGGTACATCTAATATATCAAAAAAAAAAAAAAAAAAAAAAAAAAAAAAAAAAAGAGAGAGAAAAAAGAAATAAAAACCGGTCAATAGGTTAATATTTTTTTTCCCAACAGGATCTTCAAAACCATCAAACCTGCGCGCTAAATTTGAAAATTTAGCCAAACAAGGAGAGGAAGAGTCTAAAAAAAGAGCTGAAGAAGAGAGGCAGAGAAGACTGGCAAGAGAAAAGAGTGAGAAAGAGGCCGCGAAGAAGCAAGAAGAAGAGAGGCTTAAAGCTCTGCGACAGAAAGATGAGGAGGTATGGAAATCAAATCTCTATCAATCTACATTTTTCTTCAAAAGCAGAAAATAAAATATTGTAAAATGTTATGTCATGCTTAGGACGCTGCAAAACTGGCCAAAGCAAAGCAGCCAGCGCCATCTCAAGCTTCTTCACTTCCAAAGGCCGTTCAGGTAAATTTAACATGCTATATACTGATGATTTATTACAGTATGGCATGAAGCCAATTATATTTTTTTGTTTTTGTTTCATCAGTTACCTGTGAAAGAGGACACACCAGACCTGACAACTGTTCAGCCAAAATCCCCAGTTACTCTGCAACCAAAATCTCCTATTGCTACCCAGCCAAAGTCACCTGTTGTCATTCAGCCCGATGTGACTCTGCCAGCTGCTTCTAAAACCGTTTCGCAGCCTCCCCCACAGCCTGCAACCGAACCGGAACCCGAACCTGTAGTAGAACCCCAGCCTGAACCTGAACCCGTAAAGCAGGTTCAGTCTGCATCTACTGTAACCGCTACCCCAACAGAAGTAGTTGTGGATGAACAGGACGGACCAGAAGAGACGGGAATCACAGCTATTGCAGTTTATGACTATCAAGCAGGTACAAATCCACTGTATTTTTTAATTCTATGTGCTATGTGAAGCTGAGCCTCAAAAATTAAGAATGACCAACAACATATATCTTTTTCAGCTGCCGATGATGAAATTTCCTTTGACCCAGATGATATTATCAGCAATGTTGAAATGGTAAGTTTGACCATATCTGTTTTTTGCTTGTCCATTCTTTAGAATATATAGTTAACCTTCCATCTTTCTGTCCTAGATTGATGAAGGCTGGTGGCGTGGTGTCTGCCATGGAAAGTTTGGTCTCTTCCCTGCAAATTATGTTCAACTACAAGAATGAAATCTCTTACCAAGTTTATTTCCTCATAAGAGTGCTGGAGAGAGCTCATACAGGGTACTGGTGTTTCACTCAAATTTTTTTGTGATGCAGGATTTTTTTTCTGTATCTACTTACAGTATTTCATTCATGAAATTATTTTAACTTAAGCTCAAGGCGCAGAAAGCTTATTTGAGTTAAAGCTTTTTATTGATTTTGGAAGTATTTTTTGTTTTATATTTTATTTTAAATGGGATGATTGAGAGCGGACTATTGAAACATTCCTCACACATTGATTGTGTTAGTCTGTTTCGTCAGGATTACTATTCATTGGTACTATATTTTCAAGTCTTAGAGACTTTAGGGAAGTATTTTTTGACTGATTTTCAATATCTTTCTTGTACCTTCATCAGGCCATAGTTACAACTTTTAAATATAATATATCTATTTATCTCATATTGTCAGTTTTTATTTTTAATTTTATATTAGTCAATTAGAGTGGATAGTGCGACCTAAGAAAGGCATTTAATCAGGGGCAGCAATTTGTGCATGTCTTGTTGGTGCGGCGTTGTGTTATTAATTTACATTTTGTGCTCCAGATGTAAATAATCATTGTTAAACCAACCTAAGGTGGGTTCACTTAACATTTAATAAATGTGTTTGTATTTTCGACCCGAAGGCGGATTTCGACGTTGTGCAAGATATGGGATTCTATATTTGAATTAAACAGACTATATTTTATCGTTTTGCAGGTTCATTCTTCTCATCCCACCCCTCATGCCTCATGTAGCCGTGTACAGAGCCCCCTTCCAGCTAGGTATGTGTTTCATCCTCTGTTCCTCCGGAAGAGGCTTAAATTTTTTGAAGGGTCGCGTTAGAAATACACTTCTGGGGAGGAATAGCACAGCTCACTCACTCGCGGCGCCTACAGGATGGAGAGGTGGAGGGGACGGCCGTGTGTGGCCCCGCCCCGTCCCGCCCCGCCACACCCCGCCACGCCC